ATTTCAGTGTTTCCCCTAGGAATTTTTCCAGCTGTGGTGGTGGTGTTGTTGGCGGGGGGTGGTTATGACACGTCTCACCTTTATGTTAATATTGTTTTATTTGATGCACTCCACTTTGAACTGCACCAATCCAGCGACTGCTGCATTGTAATAACTAGTATTAAAGGTGAGTACACCAATATTTGCACAATAATAATTTCTGTTTTAAACTCCCAGTGACACACTTTGCAGGGGGGATTTGGCATTTAATTTTTCTTGGCATCTGGAAAAACATCTTCTTTTTCCCCCTTTGACTCTCTGCCCGCTGTATTTTGGTCCAAGATCACTACTGGGCTGGCCCTATTAAACACGTACACCCCTGCTTAGTAGACTTAATGAAGTATTTTTAAGCCAGTATAAAAAGGACTGAAACACAAATTTACATATTTGGCATTATTGACCAATATCTTTGATTTAATTTATTTGTTAAGAACATCAAGATGCATTACAGTGAACATTATAATAAGCTGGGCGGACACTGTGCGGCTTTTTCACTCGTAACACAGCTTCAGCTCAAACTGTACGACTCAGCGCAGGGCAGATCTCACGAGTGATGTTCTCACTGTACGTCTGGTAGCAACACGTCGGACCTAAAATATGCTAAAAATAGCAGTTTTTACACAACACGTCAGACTTTTTTGTCTTGTTTTGCCTGTTGTCCTTCGGGAGTGCTGCAGGAGGACACACGGGGATTTATGGGGGTTGGATGAGGAAACGAAATAAAGAAAGTAAATCTGTGTTTTGTGATCAGTTTAATTTGACATGAACACGACAAACACGCTTTCTTGACAATCTTTGTGAGTAAAAACACGTGTAGAAACAAAAACGAACAGCGTGTGTTATTAGGGAAATAGCGGGTGAGCGGAGTTGATGCAGGATGGCGAATGCGCCGTGAGCGGTTCTGGTACTTTTTGGGTCGCAGCTGCTCGCTGCGCCGCTTCAACCCTCATGAGGAACGAGATAAATATTAAACACTCCGGAAGTCCGTGCAAGCTCACGATTGCTGATCGGTAGCTGGTCACGTGGTGTTAATCGCCTCTCGTAACCCCCAGTACACTACACGACGCTCAGCGCAAAACTCGCCCCGATCTTGTGGATTCTCGCACGAGTGGAAAATCTGCTCAAAAAAGTGAAAAAGTCACACAGTGTCCGCCCGGCTTTACTGTCTGTGTGTGTGCGTTGATGCCTGGACCGAGCTGACGGAGCTCCCGGCTGCAGTTTTGTGTGTAGGGAGGAGCGGGCGCTCTATCTGACTGGCCAATCACAGAGCGTGAAGACATTCAGTTACCCAATGAGGATTTCATTCAGCACGATTACGGATATTTTCGAGTTTTACACTCGTTTCTTGCTCGTATTCGTCAGAAATGCTTTATCCGTACGCTCATAACTGTAACCACCCTGCCCTGCCTCCTCCTCCTTGCTACCTGCCGGCTGTGATCACAAGCAACAACACAGTAGTTCCTGCTGCTTCTTCGGGAAACCGCGCAACAAAAAAAAAAAAAAAAAAAAAAAAAAACATCAATAAAACTTGGGATGTTGTAGGCGTGGCGGTGGGATTTCAGCCGTGGCGGCCCGCCACGTCTACGCCTATGTAAGGGAAACCCTGCATTTAAGTCCTAGATCATATTTGTGCCTGTTCTACTGTCATTTTGAAGGATTATTATTTATGTGTTTTTACTACATTATGAGTAGAAATGCTAATAAAAACTCCCAATTATACAAACAAGTGAAACTGGAAAAATTAGAATCTGGTGCAAAGTCAAATTTATTTCAGTCATTCAACTAGACAGAGAGACTATTTAAAGGCTCACGAAGCCTTTGCAGGTGTTTTCTATTTGTAATTATAAATTTTAGTTGATTTGGGTTTTGTTTCATATCACACAGTGACATTTGAATAATTAAAATGCAGTTTTTTATTAAAAGCTTTAGTTAACAGTAACCATGTCTAATGTTTGATTCTCTGTCTCATAATTTTAATTAAAAGTTTTACTTTGAGAGCACTTTTCCCTGAACGATTAAAATGCGATTAATTTAGATTAATTAATTACAAAGCCTGTAATTAATTAGATTAAAATTTTTAATCAAGTCCCAGCCCTAATATATATATAGGACTAAAAGGGAGAAAAATAAAAACTATGTTATGTGTTAAAGTTATTAATTAGTATGATTAAAATGGCCCAAATTGCTTTGATATGTACAATAAATTCCAAAACTATCAATAAAGTAACACTGAGACAGATAAGGTGTGGTGATCCAAACAGTTCTGTTGTAGGATATAACTCAGACCTCCTGCTCTCCTCATTCTCACAGACAGTTTCCTAAAAAGCTGTTTTTTTTTTACACCTTATAGTTTCTCAACTTCTCTGTTGTGTTTTCTCTCCATCGTGATAATAACGGCGCACCGAGCAAAAGGGAGCGGGTGTCTCATAGTATAACCATCCCTGTGTCACTGACAGCTGCAGAACCAGAGATCGCAGGTTGGCGCCTGTGCCGTCTCTAGTAGAAGCGTGAGTCTGCAGCAGCAGCAGACGTAAATCGGCGGTCTCCAGCTCTGCAACTGTACCTTTGTCTTCGGCGAATCAGCCCGGCTGAAAACGGTTTATGATTGGTCAGTCCTTGTGCACATGTGCAGATTATCGTTCTCTTTGCTTACTCCCGGAAGAACGGTTCAGAGTGCAAATGGTTTCTTTGTTGCTAAACTCTAGGGAATAGAGAACAAGAAAGTTCTACAGAAAGTAGCAACGGGTCCTGAGAAATGTCGCTAGGTTTGTCGCTAGGTGCTTTTTGGAAAAAAGTCCTTGAGGGGGGTCAAAAAGTCATTAGGAACAGCGACAAAGTCGCTGAGTTGGCAACACTGGGTCACCAGTCTGCTCTCCCCGCGAAAAAAACTGCACTGCCGAAACGTTTGATCTCATGCTGCCTTCACGTGAACTTGTAAACGCTACAACTCCCTTCCTCCTTCTGCGTAACAAATAACTGCTCTTTCATTTTCCTTTCAACGACTTAGACATCTTAACGCTTAAGATCTCAGAACTCAGACTTCATAAGGTAAAACTGGGTCGCTAGCAAAATATCTGAACGTTAAGTATTGTCCCTGAACGCAGCATAACACTAGAAACGGAGAACTCCGAGAGTAGTTTGATTACTCCCAGAGTCTTATAGTTTATAAGATTTTGGGAAACGTGACTATGCTGCAGAAACACATTCAATACTATACAATGCACATACTGTACTACGTCCAAATAATATGAGCAAATTATAATAATGTTATCATTAACAATAACAGCAACAGAAGTAGTAGTAGTAATTAGTAGTAGTCGTAGTAATAATAAATATTTTCTTTTTTGTCTTATAATTTTAAATTTATTATTTTCATTTGATTATATTTTAAGATGTGCTAATTCTGCCAGATAAATTAAGAACTTAGCAAAAACAGTATCTTTGTGCAAAAGTAACTTTTTAATATGGCATGATGAATAAAATACACAAATCTAGGCTTTGTTTGAAATTTTTGACACATTCTTTCATCTTAGTCAAATAAATAAATCATCTAGTCATCAGTAAGCGAACAGCTCCCATATCCTTTACATAATGCAGTTACAGCCCTTTTAGATAACGGGCAGTTTCATACAATATAGGGAGCCTAAATCACACCCATCTGCTTCCAGACCATGGGTCCCCAGGAAAAAGAATAAATGGATGCAAGTCAATAGGGCTATAAAAGCTATGTTCTAATCCTGTTTGTTGTGGGCTGGGGATTTCACATGTGATGTCAGTCAATTTTAAAGATAGACTCTGATTCCAATAAGGCACTTATTTTGGAAGTTGTTCTTAGGTTTTGTTTGCAAAGACGTCCAGGACTACAAATGTTTATCTCACCAAATTGATGTCATCAAACTAGACATGTAGAAGAGGAGAAAATGAGTTTAAAGAGCTCTGCTGTAGCTCTTTTTCTGTTTGCCGAGGTTAGCGAATGTAAGTCAGACAATTTTCTGAGCATCATTAAAATCCATCCTCATTTGCTAACAGACAAGTGTGGTTGACTCAAAAGTGAATGGCAACGTTTTAAGCAAAGATTTTATGCAATGTGTAGCGCTCAGGGTGTGTGATGTGGCGTACTCCTGGCTAACATGGCACTGGCGCCAAACTTTACCTATACAACTGAGTTAGAGCTTTTATATAATAACTTTATATAATTTAGCACTCAGACTATATGATGGGGATATTATGACATCAGATTTTAGCTCAGTGTCTGTGAAACTTTCTGTCCATGACATGACCCGCTTGAGCTCTTCTTGGTACTGCTGACCGACCAGACTCAAGCAGGCCCACCATACAGTTCTGAGCAGATCTGAACTCCTGGGAACCACCAGCTGAGCGATAACAGTATTTAGATCAATTATATGTACACAGCAGACGTTTCTGCTTACCGATGCTTTAACCTGTTTTATGCTTTTTAAGCAGGTTCAATACTTTGATTGGTTCATTTTCTTTGCGTTAACTATTTTAACTCCAGGGTGTTTGTGGCTTTTTAAAAGACGTCAAAAGAGATTGTTATTTTCTTTCTTCACACAGCAGCATGCAGAGAAAGAGCACACTAGGAGAAATCCTGCAACTCTCCTAACTCAAGAAGCGTGCAGCATTCAGGTGTTTCAGCAAGAAGACATTTTCAAACAGGACTTTGAACGTTCTCCTTTACCAGACAGTGAGATCAAACAGCCTCTCATGCTGCTTTTCAAATGACTGCCATGTGTGTGGGGAAAGGGTCCCTTGTTAAAAACCATGTTTTGTGAGTCACCAAGCAGCAGCCTGTGCCTCCTTACAATAAACATGGCTCACACTAATGAGCCAAAGGAGGAAAAAGTGCAAGTTAAGGGGAAAGTTGAGCCAAAGGAGTGAAATTTGGTATCGCAAATGAAAAAAAAAAACCTTTTAATCTGCCTCTTTAAACGTTGACGTACCTGGTAGCACTTTCCTATCCTGAACCAGGACTCCAGGAGGCGCCTGCATGGCATCAGCCAATGCTTGTACAACCATCTCAGTGTCTGATGAGCCAGGCTCCAAACAACCTTGCTGCCCGATGCCACCAGGTCTCCCATTCCACGTATGATGCGCAGGGCCATGACTGAGAACTGCTCGTCTCTACTGGAAGACTTCTACCACGACCAATGACGCTTCACGCTTTCAGCCACTTTGTTGTGTTCTAAACCAACAAGCTGAGAGGAGCATTTTGATTGTACAATAATTACATTTTATAAGCATACGTCATTGATAATAAAATTACCCAGGTTAAATTTGGTTTCCCCTACTCAGAATAGATTATAAAGAAAGTTAACAACTATAATCCAAACCAACGGTAAGAACTTACCTGGTGTATTCTCCTTTGGCCTCCTTGGAAAACATAAAATCAGTTCAGTTAGTAAACATGATTCAATATAAACAAAAGGACTGAATTTTTCTCTAAAATAACCTAAATTTATTTTTCACTAATCTGTGCTAAATAATGAAAATGTGAATTTTTCTGAAAATATACAAAAACTGAGGTGTGTGTTGATCCTTCATTTCAGCATGAATCTAATAGTTTAGCTAATATTTACAAGAATACACGGAGGTCTCTTCATAAAGGTTTTAGAGGTCAAAGTGAATCTAGAGGAAAACACCCGGGAGACAGAGAGAGACGTTTCCCAGGAACGTCCCGTGGCCTGAAGCGTCGGTCCTCGGTCTCGTTTAGGGGTGAGTGGCTTTTCTACAGCCAGGAGGGGCTGCGACAAAACGCTTCCTTACCTGCAGCGCGAAAGCGGCTAACTTGAAAACATGTTCGCTCTCCACTTCGATAGTTTCCTGTTGGCAAAAGAGGCAGGAGATTAAAAAGAAAGCCACAAAGAGAGCGCCGAGTATCCGAAACACTTGACTCGAGAGACAACCCCATACTTCCAATCCGTACCTCGGTCCCACCGTTACCGACTCTACCACCACCGAACAGCGGCGTTTAAAAATGTTAACGAAACGGAGCGAATACGTGTTTTTTTCTCTCTGATTCTGAATAATCCCACAACTTACTTTATGAAGGAAAACGTACGGAGCTGAGTACGGAGATACTTTCGGATCCCGTCTGAAGTTACAGCCCGATTCAGGAAAGTGGTACGGTGCCAAAGCAGGTTCAACAGTCTCCGTCTCCCTTGGAGACCAGTCCAGCGTTGCCAACTGCTTTTAACTGAAAGTAGCTGAAGTTACCCCAAAGTCGCTAGATGTCGCCAGATGATGTCACGTGCTAATGTACATATTGATTACGTCATCACGCCACATTGGCGTTCATTTTCCCCATAGCATCTAAAAAGCATCTAAAAGAGATTATATATATATATATATATATATATATATATATATATATATATATATATATATATATATATATATGTATGTATGTATATGTATATATAGGGTTAGGTTAACCCAGACAATAAAGTTCCTGTATGCTGCATAGCGGAACTGCCTATGGCGGAGGTCGGCAACCCGCAGCTCTGGAGCCGCATGCGGCTCTTCCATCCATCTGATGCGGCTCTCTGTGCTTGTAAAATAATGAATGGATATTTAAATAAAAAGCATTATATTTTACTGCATTAATTTTACATCTGTATGCCAATTCTAAATGTAAAGATTGTCCGCGTAAACCTGAACAGGGCACCGGGTTGACGCGTCACACTTGTGCGTAATCATAGGCGCTTTCTGAGCTGAAGAGGATGTGAGATTCTGGGCTTCTCCTCAGACAGGCTCCTGGATGTGTTGCCACATTGGAGACAGGAACAAGCACTATTCAGCCAAAGTTTCATAATCAGGGAACATTTTCTAAGTGACAAGTCTCGCTTCAATCTGAGGAATCTTCCTGCATGCGCTCGGGTTCTGCGACGCGCTCCATGCCCCTCTCCACATCTTCAGCTCGCTGTGTACCTTATGTAGTACCTGCTGACAGTGAGCTGCGCTGAGCAGTGTCCAGCTCAGATGTTCAGATGGGAATCTTTTCTTGAGTGATTTAGCTACATCTGTGATGTGCATAACGAATAAAATGTCAGTTTGTCTGCATGTGTCGGGGTAATTCTTTCTATTCTTATTAGTTTAATTACAACAATCAAACGTGACAGAGCCTGGATTTGTATTCTGAACAGTCTAAATATGTTTTAAAAAGAAACGTATGACAAAAGTGGCGCCTGCTCAGTAAAACCACCAACAGGGTGAAAAATATCTAAATATTGTAGGCAGAGACGGGCTACAACTTCTGGATCCATTTTATATAAATTGTTTTATTGATTATCGTCTTATGAAAGATAACTTTGACATACAAGTGCAACCGGTACTGGCTGCTGTCACCTGTTGTGAGCAGCTCTCTGCTGTCTGAGGGTAGGCCCCGCCCACAACGCCGTGGCTGCTGTGGCTCCCAGTGTTTTCTTTACTGTGGGAAACAGGTAATAATGGCTCTTTGATGGGAACAGGTTGCCGACCCCTGGCCTATGACGTTCTCCTGGATCCCGGATGTCAACCTCTGCTCTAAGGTCATTCCAGATTCGTCTGGCCAGTCTCAATGCACCTTCATTCAAGATGTACAAATCCATGTGTGGCAACAGTGGTGTACAGTTCTGTGGTTGTTGTTGACAGCATTTTTATTCCAGCGGTGTTGCCATATTTCTGCACTTGTTCACAGATACACCAGCTGGGTGACTGTGGAGGACAAGGTCCAGGTTGAGGTGATCAGGGATGAGACTCATCAAGTCAAAGATGAGACTAGGTTCCCGTGTTAGACATCTTTGTAGAAGCTGTTGGCACTCTTCTAGCGTCAGTCTCTTTATCCTAGCCTGTGAATGCAAAATCACACTTTTAAATTGTTGTGCTTGGCTAATGGACTCAAAAAACTTTCAAATACTACATGTTACAGGCATAAGGACCTTGAGTGCTAAATGTTTGGAATAAAATGAAGGAAGTACATTCACAAAATCTTTCTGTGTATTCACTGTGGCACAATGTAACTCATTATGTTGGATGGAGCGGAGTATGTTATGAATACGTTAGAATAAATCCACATGACATTTCACACATTCAAAATCGGGATAATCATACAGATGAAATAATTGGACTTGTAATGGAGCAAATGTAAAATAAAGGCTTTGCTTTTGGCGTTTTTTGTGCAAAGTTATGAGTTAGTAGTTAGATATGAACGCATACCTCTTCCACTGCCACCAACTGTTGCGGAAATGTTGGACCCTTTCTAAGTCATCCCGTGTAAGCTCAGCGAGCAGACCCCCACGGGTTCTAGCTTGACCTCGAACTCGACGTCGATCTCTGACACGGCCGGCTCCATCCTGCTCTCGGCTGCCGCGGGTTGTCGAAGCTGTGGGTCTTCCGGCTCTGGATCATCTCACTCGGTCTCTAGGTGCACCCCTCATCCTGGATCTTGGTCGGGGTGGACTGGGCTCGTAGTCCGTATCGGAACCAACAAGACTTTCGTCAGGAAAGCTCTTAACCAATCTGCAAAACAATATAACTTATATGCTAATTGATAGCTTTTTTTGTAATGCTATAGTTAGCTATGAAGATGCTCGTAATGCTACATGGAATATAACTTACTGGTGGAGAATCCGGCATTGCGGGAAAAAAAGAAGTTGCTGGAGTCAACAGGTGCAAAGCCGGCAGTTGCTTGGAAACAGAGCGTGCACGAGCACGCTCCACGGACTGGTAGAGGGGTGCGCATGCACATTTTAAAGAACGTTGAGTGGGCGGTTCTTCAGAAACATCGATTGCTACACCTTTAACTATAAAAATCTTAACCATTTGTACATCTGCATAGTCTGTAATGCCAAATAAGACATTTTTCCCAATATGACGGAAATTCTTCAACTGCATGTTTTGAAATCAAATCACACATTTGACAGCAGAAAGATTGGACACAGGTGCAGTTCCAGAACAGATGAACAGATGTTTCAGGATAATCAGAACAAAACCTGCAACATACATCAATGTCCTTTTTGAAACGATACGTGATAAAGGCTTTAGTTGGATAGATTTTACGTAGTAATTTTAATGAAATTTCTTTAACTTTATTTGTTATCAAGTATTGATTGGGAAGAAGCCATACTCTTTTCCAGTCTACGCTGTCTACAAATCTTTCCCAATATGACACAACATAAGGAGCTGTTATCATTTCCTGCTGAAATAGAGCTCTAATTACAGAAGCATATTTTACCTATAGCTGTATCTAACGCAGATGAAAAAATAAATGTTGATGGTTCGGTTTAGGATGTGATGGAAAAAGCACACAAATTCCTGATATAGCCCCAAAAACTTTGGTGTAGCCTCTTGAGGAATATGGGAAGATTAGATTCTAGTAAAAATTCTTCACAGGAGACGAGTTTTCCATCTTTATTAGCTGAGCCACATGCGTAATGTTATTATTAAACCAGTAGTCTATAAATACTTATTTCTGTATAAAATGTCTTCATTGTTCCATATGAGATTTCTGTGGGGAGAAAAATTGTGCCTGTAGATTAGAGTCCATGTTAAAAAAGCTTGGCGATGAAAATCAGAAATCTTGATTGGGATTTTATTTCTGTCACAGTTCCATGTTAAGAAAAAGTTTAACCCACCTAGTTTAGATAGCATGTGGAGTGGTGTAGCATTCCAGATAGAATTTGGATTTTCTTGTAGATGTTTCAACCAACTAATCTAAAATGTCTTATTTAGAGTATTAAGTCCAAAAAATGCAAACCACCTCCATTATATGCATTCATGAGAACAGATTTCCCCAGTGGCCCCCAGACTCTGGACCTCTCTCCCCCTGAGCCTGAGATCAGTGGACTCAGTGGTCTCCTTTAAAAAGCAGCTGAAAACTCAGCTGTTCAGGCTGGTTTTTGTATGACCTTCTTCACCACCCTCTTGTCATGTTTTGAGGTAGGTGTCTAACCCAAGACATACAGAATCAAGCACGGAGACGAGGTAAAAGAAGAACAATAATTTATTTAAATGTGGAGATGAACTGAAGGCGTACTGGAGATCCAGCGGGAGGACGAATCCGGAAGCGGTAACTAGAGGTAAACCAGAGGTGAGTAATGGGAGTTGTAGTTCAGAGGAAATGTTTGTGGGCGGAACTTACGATGAGGCTGGAGGTTACCACAAGGTGCAACACCACTCTGGCAGTGTGTGTTTGGCTTCCAGTTGCTTTTATCCATAGTAGTTGATGAGTAATGAATACATCAGATGCACCAGCAGGTAAGCACACCTCCTGGTGCATCTGATGAGTAGAGCGTCACCAGGGTGCCCTCGAGGCCAACCTGTAGACTCAAGGGAAATGAGACAAAGGTGAGAATGAGCAGAACTGGACCAAAGACCCTGACAGGGAGGTGCAATTTAACTCAGGAGGGAAGAAGAAAATTATCAGCTCGTTTTGTTTATGTCAAGGATTTTATCAACAACCCAGTGCCTGCAACCAGAGAAAAATAGTCAAATGACAGACAAGCTTCCAATTTGCAAAGTGGAGGCAGAAGCAACGAGGCGACTGCCCCGAGCTCCTGAACTCCCAGTTTATTTATAACAAGAGATAAGGTGTGTGTGTGTGTGTGTGTGTGTGTGGCTTCAGGGAATCTGTGGGTATGTCTAAATAAATGAGCATGCATAGAGTAGTACATATTACATTCAGTTAATTGCATCAATGATCAAGAAATAATAAACATAACATTTCCATGACAATATAATTGTTAAAAACCCAGATCGTAGTTGTAATTAAAATTTGATGAATTGAGCAGCCCTGGATTGAACTGGACAGATAAGGGTGTGGCTACAGAAAAATATAATCAGAGAGCCATCTCTGCAGACTCTCAGGGACACACGGGCAGTTCGCTTTGGCTTTGAGGTCTGCAGTTATACCTGTGGGGAACATTATTCATGTACTACTTTTTATATTTGATAGTTAAAATTGCTTTAATCTTTAATTGTCTGGTTTCCTTCTCATCTAACAAATTTGGCAGAATCAAGAGACACATATTAAATCTCAAAAACACTCACATTTTATTATCTTTGTTAAGACAGAAGCTTAGGATTCGTCACTTTCTGAAGTCCCGACAATTCACCCTGAAAACGAGTTCTCTGGACATAACTTACAAAAAGTGAGTTAAATTTACAGTTTTTTCTTTTTTGTTGTAGATCTTTTTAACCAAACCTGGTGACTTAAAAACGTACATATTTTATCATCTTGGTTAGGATTGAAGCTTAGGATGGAATCTGTGAAAAAATGAGACGACTAAACAAGACAGCTTTATTTATGTAGCACATTTGCCAAACAAAGGCAACTCAATATGCTTTACAGTAGGGATGTGTATTTTTGAAATTCTGGTGATACGATACACATCACGATACAGGGGAGACGATACGATATATCACGATATATTGCGATACATTCAGTCAGACATTACAAGCAATTTTTTTTACTGAATTTATTGTAAGAATGTTCAATAAACAGTCCAAACTGATACGTAACATGTTTAACATGAGGTATCTGAACCATGATGGCGGGATTTACATTTCAGTGGTGGAAACAAAACCCGCTGCACACTGCTGCCAACTAGCGGGTGGCGATTGAATTGCGCAAAACGAAAAGAAAATACACAAATGTTTGCATGTAAATTCTTTCAGGAATTAGATACCCGGCTTTTGAAAATCAATGTAATAATCGCAGGAAAAAATATCACGATATATTGCCATATCAATATTTCCGATACACAGCTTTTGAATATCGATATAATATTGCTGGGGAAAATATCACGATATATTGCCATATTCTTACATCCCTACTTTACAGCAATGAAGGACTAAACAAAAATGAACAATAGAATTAGATATAAAACACTGAAGACTAAAAGTAGAAAACACACACAGTCCTGTAGGCTGCACAAGTAGACGAATGAAGGACAGAAAAGTTACATTTTACAGGTTTTCAGCTAATAAACTAAACTAAAAGCAATACCAGTTCTAGTCGCTAAACCACCCACATAGTGGGAGACAGACTTGTGACAGAATTAAAGTAAAATATCTGTCTCACATGTCCAGAAACAAACAAAGTATAGCCGCCATCTAAGGACTTTTATTATATAATTATGTTCCTTACACTCCTTCGGTTCAGCTGCGAGAACTCCAGACAGCCAGTTCTGAGGACTGTCATCTAGCTAGCTAGCTAGCTATTTCAAACTCATCCGGAAGCTTTGTGCTAAAAATCATTAGCTTAGAGATGTTTATTAATTTTTTTGTTCATCTACACCAAGATGTGTTAGATAATCTAAAGTAGTCACATCTAAATCCCTAGGTTATATTTTGTTAACTTAAATCATGGAGATACAGCTCTGGTTAATAGCTGGAGACGGGGTTCTAGCCCTCCAGCTACTGTGGATGTGCTCAGTTACCTGGAGGTAAACAATAACATGCAATGGGTCTATATTTTATTGTGTTTGGTGAAAACTGAAGCAAAGGATGGAATCTGTGTATATAAAAATGAGACTTATAAAATATATCATTTTAGATACACCTTTTGCTAAAAGACATTTTTGTGCTAAGGATCCCAAACATTGCTTTTACTAAAAGAAGAGAAGTTGTGCTTTTAGGTGCACTTTTAAGTCAACTAAATGTTATATTAAACCCCATTTTGTTGAAGGAAGCCTAGTAAGAAGTCACTCTGTCTGTAACCCCCTCAACCCTGACCCTAACCCTACCACCATAACACTTAACTCATTAACTGCTAATTTTTTTTACTGTGTGGGCATCAAAACGAGCCCCTGCACCGTGAGAACAACCATCCCAGCTCTAAAGCCTATCTTCATCTGTGTACGTCACACATCATGTGATCAGGAAGCGGAAAATCCATGTGTTAGGAGATCGTTTTGGGCCGTTGCTGTAAAAAAAAGTGAGGCTCAAACCGGAAAAGCTTCTGCCGATCACAATTCAACAACGAATTCAACGGATAAAGCTTGAAATGCGCAGATTCTTCCTGATCTTAGAGGTGAGTCTACTCTTTGTTTTGTTAGTTTTGGTGTTGGCATCATCCTAGCGCGCAACGTTCTGTGACTCTTAAAAAGACAGTGAAAATGCTGAAAAACGCTGGCAGCGGAGGGCTTTTCTGATCAGGAAATGGCTGGCAGTGAATGAGTTAAAAGCAGTGTAAAAACACAGAAGTCTAAAATACTTGACACAACTGAACATGGGTCAGTCGGGAGCACAACCAACCAACCCCCACCCCCGAAGCAGAGATCTGACGAAGTACATGTTTGAAAAGTGCAGAGGTTTTTGACCCTAATAGCCATACATCAGTGACGTCTTACTTGAACACAAAAATACTGCTTGCTTGCAATCATTTAGGTATGTACTGTGCCCTGTTGCCAGGGAAAGTACACACAGTCACTTTAAATTTGTCCACAGAGCTCACAAACAGAAGGTTTCTATCCTGTGTGGACACTCATGTGCTTGAATAAAATGTTCTTTTGTCCATATCTTTTTCCACAGAACTCACAAGCAAATGGTTTATCTCCTGTGTGGACTCTCATGTGAGTGTGTAAATTAAACTTTTGGGTAAACCTTTGTCCACAGAGCTCACAGGCAAAAGGTTTATGACCTGAGTGGACTCTCATGTGACGGTTTAAACCAGAATTTTCGGTAAATCTTTGTCCACAGAGCTCACAGGCAAAAGGTTTCTGTCCTGAGTGGACTCTCATGTGACTGTTTAAACCAGACTTTTCAGTAAATCTATGTCCACAGAACTCGCAAGCAAATTGTTTCTCTCCTGTGTGGACTGTCATGTGGCTGTTTAAACCTGACTTATGGTTAAATCTTTGTCCACAGAGCACACAGACAAAAGGTTTATGTCCTGTGTGGATTCTCATGTGAGTATTTAAATTCGACTTTTGGGTAAATCTTTGTCCACAGAGCTCACAGACAAAAGGTTTCTGTCTTGTGTGGATTCTCATGTGAGTGTTTAAAGTCGACTTACGGGTAAATTGATTTCCACAGAGCTCACAGACAAATGGTTTATGTCCTGTGTGGATTCTCATGTGATTGTTTAATGTTGACTTATGGGTAAATCGATTTCCACAGAGCTCGCAGGTAAATTGTTTCTCTTCTGTGTGGACTGTCATGTGGCTGTTTAAATCTGACTTTTGGGTAAATTGTTTTCCACAGAGCTCACAGACAAAAGGCTTCTGTCCTGTGTGGACTCTCGTGTGAATGTTTAAACCTGACTTATGGTTAAATCTTTGTCCACAGAGCTCACAGACAAAAGGTTTATGTCCTGTGTGTATTCTCATGTGAGTGTTTAAAGTCGACTTTTGGGTAAATCTTTTTCCACAGAACTCACAGGCAAAAGGTTTCTGTCCTGAGTGGACTCTCATGTGACGATTTAAACCAGACTTTTCGGTAAATCTTTGTCCACAGAGCTCACAGGCAAAAGGTTTCTGTCCTGAGTGGACTCTCATGTGAGTGTGTAAATTAAACTTTTGGGTAAACCTTTTTCCACATAGCTCACAGACAAAAGGTTTCTGTCCTGAGTGGACTCTCGTGTGAATGTTTAAATTTGATTTTCTCCCAAATATTTTTCCACAGTCAGCACAACTAAATGATTTTAGTTCTTTCTGGACTTTTCTATAGGAGTCTACATGTTGCTTAAGTCTAACAGATTTCTTATTAACCAAAAAGCTGGAAGACCTTATTGCTGAATGACTGGTTACTCTCACATGTTTCTGGAGGGACTGCTTGTCATGAAATCGTTCACCGCACTCAAGACAGCTAAAGGATATGTTGACAGTCTTAACATCTGACTCAGAAGACCTTTTCTCATTCCAGTCATGGTCTTCGTCTCCCATTTCAGACCCAGAGTCTGACATCCCAGAGTCTAGATTCATATCATCATCTCCACTAACTTCAGTCTCTGAAGAATCAGATGTTTGTTCATGAGGGTTCAGATCTGGGTTCCTGCTAGTTCCTGCTCCTCCACCAGTTTCTGCTGTCATCTGGTCAGATGAGCTGCTGGTTGGAACATCTCTGTCTTCTATTTGCTGCTGATGAAGCTGTGAGACCAGACGTTTCTCTTCATCATCCTCACGCTTTATAGAAACAGCACTGAAATGAAACCTGGCAGAATCAGTCTCCTCCTTCAAATGGAGATGCTCTCCCTTAAGACTGGTCCAGAGTTCCTCCTTTTCCTCCTTTATGTGGAGGTGTTCTGGGTCCTGCTGGTCCACAACAGCACTTTGTTCTTCAGGATCTTCTTTAACCTGCACAATCTGTTGAAATTCTGTAGGAAACAGAAACACATAAGGTGAATTACCAACTGCTGTAACTTTAAATTCACACATATGAGATTTGTGTGATTGCAGGGGTCTCCAACATGTTGGTCGTGAGCTACCGGTAGCTCTTGAATGTCGCTGGCCTGGAAGCAGCCGGTGAGCCGCCCAGCCTGACTTGTACTTAACAAGGGACAGATTTCTAATTTGATGGCAAGCCTTCCCCAGTTCTCGTAATATCTAATGTAAAATCAGCATTTTATGGAAGTAAAATAGAATCTGATTATTGCACAAATCTTTCGGCAAACGTGTTCTACTGGAAATATGTGGAATGGATTAATTGTTCAGGTTGCAGCGCGGATCCCCGTTTCTGATATCAGCGGCTGCAGCTGCAGGTGCTTCTAAAGACGAAGTGACGTCGGTCATTCAGACCTGGTTTCAGAAAAATATCCTCAACAAAATATTGTGGGCGACTGTAAAGTCCTATCTGCGTAAATATGTTGTTAAAGCAAATTAAATGCCCTTTGCTTATTAACACAATTAACAGGCTTCCAAAGTCTGGACATCTCCTGTGATTTACATAGTTTCAACAAATTTCCCTCAACACAGTTTCAGCTGATTGTCCCGTTTAGGAATAAAACAGGATTTTTAAATCTCTCACTCTGCTCTGTGTTGCTCATCCGTCAGACCCGCTGATCCAGAGGCAGAGAAAAAGGTTAAACCTCCAACCCTGCTTTAATGTCGTCAACAATAAATGCAGCAAAGCATTTATTGTTGACGACAGGTTAATCATTCACAGAAAGTAGATTTGTTGTTCATTATCTGAAAGTATCTGATTAGTTAATAAACAAAATATTTTGTTTAGGTTGATTTTCAGAATCTCACTATCTTCCTTGTACATTTTTATAATATTGATGTATTGAAATATAGAGAAATCAACTAACATAAGCATATTCACACATGGACTTGAATACATCGTATGGCGGTAGCTCTTCTGTACTTTCATTAAGTAGCTCACAAGCCCAAAAAGGTTGGAGACGCCTGGATTAAAGCTTTAAGTTGGTGAAATCAGAAATGACTCAAATTACAGGAAATCTCTTTAGAATTGAGAGACTTTTTCTTGGGAGGTGAATAAAAAATGTAGGCTTACTAGTTCCAGACCAACAAAAGCCTGTGTTACTCTGAGGTTCAGGTTATGTTATTGACAAAAATAGACAGACATAGACTTACAAATATATACAAAAATAAAAAATACAGTTTGAAGATTAAGAGGAATTCTCAGCGTAGCACAAGCACAAAGTGTAGATTTGAAATTTAACTCACAAAAATTAAACGAAAACTAAATAAGACTTTCTGGTACCCATCACTGTGCACAACACAATCATGCTATTATTTTAGCACTTTCATTTGTATTTGTTCCTTTAATTGACTGTTATAAACACTCAATGGTTTACTTTGTGGCTCGACCAAGCCCCCATAATACTGGTATGAAATTGAAGCCAACACGGAAGTGACAAAAATTGCAGTTTTTAGGGATGGGTACTGAATTCGGTACTTTTTAAGGTACCGACCGAATTCCATAGTAACGACAGAGCACCGATTCACGTCATTTCAAACGGTGCCTCATTTCGGTACCCGTCCTTCACAACGAGAACTTGCCAAGACAGCTGCGCATGCACAAGAGCGTTATGTCGTCACTCGCTGCGAGCGAGTTGTAAACAGAGCAGCATGGTAGAAAGAACGCTTGGGTCCACTTCACTAAATGTGATGGGTAACTGGGTGATGATGAAAACAGCGACAACGATCTAAGTGAGACATCCTCGTCTTAATCTGCTCCGGTAGGTAAATAAAATATTTAAGATAACGTTAGCTTGATATGTTAGCTTCCATTGCCACCGTTGTTATCAGCTAATGGTGCGTTCGCTTTTTCCTCGGAAATTCTAACTTCCCAGTAGGAAAAATCAAATGAGGAAAGACGGCAAAAGGAATGAAGATACACAGTAAATTTAGTTCACAGTAAAGATGTTTGCTTCAGTTTAATTATCAGCTTATAAAACTACAAGGACGATGTTAAAATACAAACAGTTGTATGTTATTTATCGTGATATTTATCAAATATTGTTATATATTGAGAAAAATATATATTTAATTATAAAAGAGAAATAAAATAATAAACACTCAAAAGTATCGAAAATTGGTACCGTTAAGTACCGGTATCGATTCCTAGGTACCAGGAATTAGTACCGAATCGATTCAAATGTCAAAGGTACCCATCCCTAAGTTCCACCCTCATCCGCTGGGGGCTGGTGTCAGAAACGAGCAAATCCTCATAGATTCCCATGTTAAAAATACCAATTTCACAGCAGAAATAAACATGTTTACAGCCTGGTACCAAAACATGTTTTAGGTTTAATTGATCTAGTTTACACTCATGACAACTCTGAGAGGGGTGCATCTTTTGTCACTCTTCTGTTTAAGTGTATTAAAAGCCTAAAAAATTCTGTATAATTAATGAGCATCAGACCCACGTGACCACAGAGCTAGCTCTGGGGAAAGGCCTCGGTCTGAGCCTCGGTCTCGCCTGAAAACTGTTCCGCCATTTTCAGTCTCTCAACTTAGACAATTAGTTGTGCCGTTTGTGCGTTCTTTTTTGGATATTATTTGTGCAATTGTTGGACAAAATGACTTGCTGTGGCATTAATTGCACTAATAGAGCGTCCAAGAAGTCTCCACTTCATTTTTTTCGGTAAGTAAAATTATATTTATGTATTTTAGGTCACTGCCGAGCTGAGCTTGGATTTTAACATGTACTGAAATTTAAATGTAGTAGGGTAAACCCCAGTGCATTTAGCATAACGCTGCATTTTAGAAAATGGGTTGAAATTTAACATGTTGGTGGAGCTGGGTTCCGACTATCGGTATGGTCCCCTCCCCTCAGCGGCAGCTCGGCGCATCTCTGACTCAGAAGCTCCGGTGTTGTGCACAGGTTGTAGCTAGGTAGCTACCTCTGTTAGCTTAGCTCCCACCTCCACGTTAGCTTTGGGTTCCCTTGTAGCTACATCGCTTAAGTTCGACGCGTGTCGTCATTTGATCCCAGCCTTACAAACCCACCCTCAGCTCCACCTCTTTTCCCTTTTTTGGAATTGTCTGGGCTTGACGGAACCTGTGACACGGTCAAAATGGCGGTGGTGATCCCCCTACCATTTTGGCACAAAAACTGGAGCCTACGGACATGAATTGTCCAGTATATATGTTGATGCAA